TGATTCTATGATTCTATGATTAGGTTTGAGTGCTATTTCCAAAGCTCTCCAAGACTGGCACAGAAGGTGGAGAAGTTTCTCTTACCTAATGACTGTCCTAAAACGACAGGTCCCCTGCAGTGCTACTTTTGAAGATTTATCATACAGAAAAGCTGAAGTTTGAATACATACTGTTGGGTCCGGTTTTCGAATTGACAGAGAAAGAGGCGAACACCATCGATATTTTGTGCCTTTTAAAAATAAGAGAAAGATAATAAGTATTACCAGCTAGCTGGGGTCCGGGCTTTCCCACGCAGGGGTCACACCACGGACCTCGACCACTTTGGTCGTTCCTCTTTTATACCGTTCTTACCCCAAAAATGTTCTCCCTCCCGTTTTCCTGTTCTGCTTTCATGTCAATGTTATCTATATTTTATTGCCGACTGGGACACCTCTGGATAAGCAACCCCTCCGTGCAGACCATCCCGTCTTGCCATATATCAGGAGTCTTTGTAGATAGGCAAGCCCTTCATGCAGAACGTCCTGACCTGCCATATATCAGGAGTCCTTGCAGATAGGCAACCCCTCCATGCAGAGCCACCTGTCCTGCCATTTATCAAGAATTCCTGCACTTTGAGACTAAGTATTGACTAGCTTATTAGTGCACTCTATATTAACTCTTTAATCCCTGCAATACCAGCAAGGTTTCAGCAGAGTAGTCCTATTGTACCCACCTCAAACCAGACAAATGACCATACTGAAAAATATGTAACAGCTCCACTTCATGCTTTCAAGGGAGCCTAGCGTGAGCTGTAATGCATTGGTAAGCAGCAGCTCTTTCTCACAGAGCCACCTAAAGCTTGTGTCTATGACAGAATTTGAAACTAAATGGTAGTATATTCCTCTATTTCATAAGTTTTTTTTTTTTTTTTTTAGTTAAAATCTGAGACTCAGTCAAAGCTTTCCCTGCCTGTTTGGAACAGGTCACTCTCTGGGGTGAAATAGAAGAATCGGAGCATTTAGAGTCCCAATATCCTTCTGCACCTCAGCTTGGGAGCACTTCATTGGGTATAGGGAGACCGTGAAGAGCTGTTAGGATGTTTTCAACTGCTTCCTCTGTGATCATGCGAGTGGATTTCTCTGTTTCAGTGCCAAGGTGGGGTGTTATAACGACATTCTTTAATTTTAATAATGGATGATCTCTAGAAGAAGAAGAAAAGAGGTATATATAAGTTACCTGCACTTCTTCATCCAACTGAAGAGCCTTACTTTTGCTATTGCACTGTATTTACATATGTAGTTCATTTAATATAATTTTTATAAGCCCCACATATATCAAGAGACCAATCTAATGCTTATGGGCACCGATGAACTGCATTCAAGTAATTCTGGACATGAAAATATGTGCTAAGAGTTTATTCGGTGCTTTTTTTTGTAGCAGACCAGGCTTTCTTTTTTTTTTTTTTTTCTTTGCTCTTAAACAGCAATTTGGCCTGAGTCAGAAGAAAGGACAGCAACGTCTGTCCCCCAGCCTGTTGACATAACAAGCCCAAACCAGACAGCACAGTTAACTCAGTGAGGTGCAATTCTGCAAGGTGAGCTGCTTTTTATTTATTTATCTGTTTATTCATTTGTTTTAGAAGCTAAATAGCCTCTGGGCCAGAGAGATCTGCAGCATTTCAGCCATCAAGAGCCTTGAATTGGGCAACCAAGCCTGGAGGGAGGGACAGGCCAGGCCAGGATGGCGGGGACAATGTAGCAGGGCTCAACAGGGACAAGTCAGGCAGCTTCCTCCTGTGCTCTCCTTTCTGATGCAAAGATGCCTCCCTGAAGCACTGCTGGGCTTCGTATTGTGATTCTGTGCTGATCCCTTGGCCTACATGACCCTCCTGCTGTTCCGTGGTGCCGGCCTTCCCTCAGGCCTGTTACCGCCCGCAGCACCTGGGCTGCCTCCGGGCCTCATGCACAGAGCCCTCACCCAAACGTGCCGCCGCCTCCCTGCCTGCTGCGCCTCTCCCAGCCCTCCGGCCACGACCCCCTACGTATTCCCGAGCACCCAGCACAGCTGGCAACCTGGGCAGCGGCTCCGGGTTGGTGACATCCAAAGCGGCAGCCCTGATGACTCGGTCCTGCAGAGCTCTCACCAGCGCCTCCGGGTCAACCACTGCCCCTAGGTGGGAACAAGAGTGTGTCTGAGTGCCATTTGCAGGCTACAATCTGAGAGCAAAAAGAGAGAGGAGAAGGAGAGGGAGGGATTTTGTCCATGGCTGGTCTGTACAGTCCCCAGTCGTGCATTTCCTGCAGTGCAACAGGAGCCAGCTCCCATTTTGCAGTCAGAGCAGTCTGGGATATTACCTCGGCTGATGTTAATGAGAGTAGCCGTGGGTTTCATCAGCAACATCTCCCTCTTCCCAATCAGCTTTTGTGTCTGAGGGGTCAGGCTCACCACCACCATCACAAAATCTGACTGCTTGAGCAAGCTCTCTAGCTTTCCACAATAGGTGGCACTAACAAGTTGCTCCTCGTGCTCTTTCCTGACAGGGGAAAATAAGGATCATGCTGTGTTTCAGGCAGGCAGTCTTGGGAATGTCGTCTTTGCAATGTCATCATCTTCCCTGGCAATCTATTGGGGCTCCTGGCTGCTGCAGGACTTACACATAATGAAGCGCTCAACACAAAAAGCTACTGAAGTACAGAGAGAGTTTTAGTTTGAACTTTTTTTGGAAAAAAAATTGTGGCCATTCATCCTAATTTATCCTAGTGTTTTTAAACCTTGCTGCCTAAACTTCGAGAAATAGAGAGACGAGAATATAAATCAGTATGATCGTTTGTTCCTGAATCCCGGAGAATGGTTTTTGAAATGTCTCCCGCTAAACTGGCTTGAAAGAAAGAAGTCACACTAAGAAAAGAACTTCAGTGTCACTTTGGATCATGTGTCTGCTAACACATATTAGTTATTTTCTTATAGGGTCCAGAGTCCAACTATCAGGGCCTATGCAGATAAAGAGCAGAATGGGATTACAGCCAGGTTTGCAGCACAGGAAGTCTGAATATTCTGATAAACATAGTGTCTAAACACACTTTAAAATAGACACATTTTTTTTCCTTTCCATTACATTGTGCATTGGTTATTCATCACAACACTCTTTTACAGCAATCTTACTTAAAAGGATGGAGTTGGTGATAACCAACAGAAAAAAAAATAGGATTTGTGCCTTATTTGCTCTTCTTTCTGGTATATAAAGAAAGCTTGAAACAGCTTAAGGACTATGTTTTTTGTTGTTTGCTTGTTTGTTTTGTTTGTTTTTGGTGGTGCTTTGTACCTGAATTTGTTCAGCTGTTTTTATAATTTCTGAAGTAATTCGAATGCCAGGACTCATCTATCCTGGCTAGCTAAAGCAGTAATGCTGCTACTGCTGTCTGCATGTGGAGCATCTTAGTGTAAGCCACATGTACCCGCTGCAGCTTCTCTTGATATCAAGGAAGGGGAAATCTGCCTCAGTGCAGATCAGGGTTTATAGCAGTAAGTTTTTTTTCCCTTTTGTTTCACTTAGTCATGTTCCCCTAGTTTGTGCTCAAATTATGCTGACATAGTATCTTGAAAAGAGAAATACTGACTATCTGAAAGAGAGTTTCTGCTCTAATTAGGGTCAAAACATATCTTTACCTCCGTGTCCTGTTGTGTTACAAAATGTTTGTTTCGAATGCTCTGCCTCTCAGAGCAATCTTATATCCAGTGCGGCCCATTCCAATGACCCCCAGAGTAGCTCTGATAACTTGAACTCCCAGAAAATCAGCTTCACAGTATTCCATATTTGGAGAAACTGCAACATGACAGCCTATAAGAGAAATGCTCCAACATTAGGGCCTTTAGGCACAAATATTAGGCACATATGCTCCTATGTTTGCTCCAACATTAGGGCCTTTAGGCACAATTAGGCACATATGCAACAATTACAACACATTGCTTTAGATAGCACTGATTTTTGCAATGCCCTGGATGACTCTTTAATATATCATATTTTTGGCCACACACGTGACATGCCCCGTTTATTCCCAGTGTGCTACCAAAAGATTTTTGATACTATCCTCCCTACAAACCTTTTTCCTCTCTGCATTGGTAAAAATGATGCCCTGTTCTGCTATGATAATCAAAATAAGTATTACCAGTAACACTGCAGGGTTTGGAAATCCTTGTAAAGAATAACACCAGGTGTTTGTGTTGCTGTTTAGAGCAATACAAGGTTTCCTGTTCACCTCTGCCACTCTAACTGGCTGAAAGAGTGCATCTTCTGTTAAACTCACTACTCAGTAGTTTCCCTAGATTATCTGCTAACCCTGCAAAATTTTGTTTTTGCGATCAATGCAGAAAATAAACTTACATGCACAGAGACACCATGCTTATTAGCCTGCTGGCAAGGTGAGAGGTTCTGGTATTTCAGTCCTCTAAAGAAATTATTCTTCCTGGTATTGCCAGCTAAAACATAAGCAGAATACTGTGAAAACAACAAAAAAGAATGCCTCAGGATAATAATCATGCCACAACAGACCTACCAGAAATTCATACAGATGGGGGCAATCATTAATCTCCTTTTTAATCCATCTTCTCCCTGTGAGGTAGAAACAGGTTTAGGGAAGACCAAGTCTCTCTTCTTTGAGCTTTAAGAAGCTTGTGGTCCTGCTGAGGTATCACAGGCAGATAAATCTAATAGGAAGGAAGGAGAAGGGTTTTTATTTTGCTTGTTTTGTTTTGCTTTCCTGAAGCAGGAGGCATTCCGGGCAAGCCAAGGCTAGGTCTATTTGGAGAAAGGGCCAAGGCAATTTGTGATGCAAACCAGAACAGATGCTATTACGAGTCACTGCAGCACCCTGTCTCTGATGCCACTTAAATCCTTCAGCTTTGCATCAATGCATTTCAGTCCCTGAAAATATGCCCATGTCTCTGCCAGTGCCAGCTTTCAGCAAATGTCCATATTTTGCTCCACTGTTGTTTCCCACACTTCATTTTTCTCCATCTTTCTGTGACCACTCTGATCCTCTGATCATTATCTCCCTCCCTTCACCATACTACTTCACTGATCAATAGCAACGCACTACTACCATGTGAAGAAACAAATGTCCTAAATGTCAGAGCCACTGCAAATGCACTGCTGAAAAAGGTCATGGAATTGGAATCTTCCATGTGAGAAGCACACTTCAGGGTGTTGTCAGCTAACAGTAACTGTTAATAATAATTCTACAGACATATGTATTCTTAAAAAAAAAAAAAAATCCTGCTCCTGCGTCTAAGTATCAAGCTTTATCAATAAATCACAGATGTCCTGTCACTAAAGCACTAAGTTGCACTTGAACAGAATTTGATGAGATTCTGTTCAAATATAAATAAACTCACATGATTTTATGCTTGGTGGAAATACATGTCAGATAAAATATGTCAGCAAAACACCTGTTTGATGTGTTATCTCAACACATTTTTCTGGAATTTAGATATTCACATTTTATTGTACTACGGATGACTTTATAAAGGTTAAGTTTATGGCATGAAAATCTTGTATGATTTCCAGAATCCAAAGAAGAATTGAAATGATACCTTCTATTAGTCTTCTAGCAGATGCCAGCACTAAAGCCATCCCAGTGTCTGCTGTGTTGCTGGAGACAGCATGTGCAGCATTAGCCATTTTCACACCGAAGGCAGCTACAAGTTTCAGATCCAGGTGATCCATCCCTACTGCTGAATTTGCAATCACTTTTAAGTTTGGCAGGCTCTGGAGGAGCTCTTGATCAATGACTGGTTTGTGCCACCACAAATCTATTGCTTGGACTTTATCCTTCAAACACTTTCTGTCTTCAAGAAATTCCTTCATGGTGATGAGGTAGAAATGTCTCTTCAGGAACTCCACGTGGCTATGCACTTCCCCATGTGTTCCTCCCATTTCGTTTACCAAAAGCCCAGGTAGCTCTTCTCCTCCCATGATCTGCAAGAAGAAGGAAGACACAAAGTGCTGAATTATTTCCAGACATTTTAAAGAATCATCAGTTTCCTGTCCTGTTATCATGACAACTACTGCAAGAGATCTTATAAACCAAATATTCAAATGGTGAGATAAACGCACCGAGACAAGAAAGCAGTTCTTTAAAATATACTATCAATCATATGAAGAAAAAAATAGAAAACAAAACAAACGAAGAAAAACATCTTTCGCATAATGAAGCCTGAACCAGTTCTGTCGCTCATGAGTAGTCAGGTTTCATATCACTATCACCAGGCTCATAACACTGTGAATTATTTTTAATTACTTAGTTTCAGAGTATCAAAGTCTGGTGTCATAAATCTTCTCTATGCTGAAATCACAAATGACTGTGTATAAGGAGTTTAGGAAAATGTTGGGCTAAATCTAGGCCCTGCAAATAAATGTCACAGCTTCATCATGAACTTTGAGTTATCAAGTTAATATTTAAATGCTCCATTACAGAGGTTTTTGCGGTCCTCTGTTCTGAAGAGACACCAATACCTTCTTATTTGCAGTGCATTCACTTGAGCCTATCATAACAATATAACAACAGCTTAGGCTTTATTTTTGCTTTTTTTTTTTTTCTCCAAACAAGGAACTTAAACGTAAGCATTAGAATTAAAATGCTTTTATGCTTTTTTTTTCCTACTAGTAACACTGACCATTTGTGTGTAGCTCCCAGAGGGCCTGTGAAATGGCAACTCTTTTTAAAAAACAAAAGAAAACACACACAACTATTTATGGCCACCATTGATTTTCCTTCGGAATTTTGTAACAAGATGTTAGGGGGTGAGTGGGAGGAGTTGTGCAAGGGCTGAAGATCTTTGAATCCGCTGTAGCAATTCTTGCTGTTGTCCTGTGCGTAGTACTTCAGTGTTTGCATCCTATTTCAGTATTTGCATCTGAATGTCTAGCTCTCGGGCTGTGCTCATGTATTGTGGTAAATCTTCATTTTATCATCCTTCTAAGAAGCCTGACCATATTGGAGAATAATGGAATGGCATCTTGCTTTTATGGAGAGACAAATCTTTCCTTGAGTCTTCTGACTTCACTGTTTGCTCAGACTCGGGAAAGAGAGTATGGAAGAGGTATGGAAGCGACAGAAAGGAGCCTGGCTTCAGGCTGGAAGTTAGCACTGGTCACTAATTTTGCTTTGGGCTATGCCTTCACTGATGCAATTGCAGTGGCAGCCATCACCTTGTTTCATGGCCAACAAAGATAAAAGCAACAATTTTGTCTGCATAGAGAAACTAAATCTCTTTGGATTTACTTTGGTTTCTGTAGGGGAATCTTTCAAAAGAAAGGAAAATCAATGCTTGGCTTCAGTTTGATTTAACAGTGTAGATTAAGCTATGCTCTCCTACAGCTGAAAACTTTAGGCCTAGGATCATTTCAGTGAAGTCTGCTTTTCTTGAATGCTTTGATATCAAGAGAGAATATTGCAACACTGGCTGAAAAGTGTTTTGGGATATAGTCAGATTTCTGCAGGTAATTAATGTTCAATCCAGCTTTAATAAACCTGAGAGTATTTCACAAACCACTCGGTGTGCTTCCTTATCATTATGTAGTAGCAAGTACCGGAAATAACGCACAGGTATTAACTGAACAAACTGAAGATATCAGTGTACAAAACCGCTCAGTTTAAAAGTTTCAAATAAATGACTTTTATTTGTTCTCCTTTATTCTTTCAGAATTGGAAATGACAATACAGGGTAAGATCAGCGGGCCAAGAGCTTTGCAGTATCATGACAACAAAAGCAGTGCAGGAACAGAGATACTGTAGAAAATGGTGTCTTTTCACAGACGAGAGGTTTAGTGCTGTCATCTGATGCACATCACTTGGGGACCACTTCACTGGGAATGGGCTGACCATTGAGAACAGCTAGCATATTTGTTATTGCTTCCTCTGCCATCATACGGATGGCTTGGACTGTTGCAGTTCCAATGTGAGGGGTTATGATGATGTTATTTAATTTCAATAAAGGATGGTCTCTGTAAGAAACAGAAAGAACAAAATATATGACACAGGACATTTACGCTGCTGCTATCACGTGCCACTTGGACAGAACTGAACCTCAGGAAACAGCAACCGTGCAATGAGGTAAAGGGGCTAGAGGCAGAGAGTCTGCAGAGAGCTGTAGGAAGCTCCCTTACCCATTCCCTCTTGTTCTTGTTGCCTTGCCTGTTGGCCAGGTTGCCAAAGAGCTGACATATGTGGGAAAAGGGAACTGTTTGCCATTTGTTTATGCTGTGCAAGACAGGTTGAGGTTTTGCCTTAAGCTGTGAGAGTGACTCCTGATAGAGACCAGGATTATGAGCAGAATTTTGCAGATAGTTTAAAATCATTTCAGATTAACAGAATGGAAAACAGATGTCTCTACCTTGGAAGAGGCTCAGGGTATGTCACATCCAGAGCAGCTGCCCTAATAATCTTTTTCTGTAGGGCTTCTACCAATGCATCTTGATCAATAACTGCACCTGCATTGAAAAGATAATTTCCTCCTATCATCACAAGTTAAGAACACGTTTTTAACCTAGTGGGTAGAGAAAGCTCTCCAAGTTCTAGAAAGCATAACTAAAGAATTTACATTTGCTAGAAAATAAAATGTCCCTCTAATAACAATTAACCGAACAAAATAAAGAGACATTCTATTTATTAATCTTTAATTAGAGGATGATCACAGTTCAGTGCATAGAGCACTTCATGAGATGTGAGAGATTTAAGTCAATTCCTCATTTTGACACTGATTTCTTATATTACTGTAGGCAAATCATTTCAAAGCTCTTTGAGCTTTTTCAGTCTTTTATCTCTGCTTTGTCTCTTGAAACTATAACCTCTTTAGGTCTGCTCTTACATGATTGTTTGGCATCAACACATCTGTAATCCCATCCAAGGTTCCTTTTCCAGACAGCTGTTTCAATTGAGGCTTGTGTTTCTCCTTGTACCTTATTCATCACAGGTGATGAACACCTATTAACTATTTCATGATAATGAGGTTATTTCCACTAAAGAAAGCTGTCTTGGGATAAGGCTAAAGAGATGTAGAGCACCTGCTGAGCACCTCCAAATTCTGCTGGAGGTCCCTAGGAGCTTGTCTTCAAGCACATAGCATCTCATCTATAGTTAAATCATTAATCTGTAGAGTGTCAGCTAGCCTTGTGCGACTCAAACAATATATGGAGAAATGCCCTGTCTGAGGTGGGAGAGGGAAGTGTCGACACAAAGGGACAAAACATGACCTTAACTGCTGAGCCACACCAGTGCCTTTGGACCATCCTACCTCGGCTGATGTTTATAAGAGTAGCTGTGGGCTTCATTAGCCCCAGCTCTCGTTTCCCAATCAGTTTGCGAGTCTCTGGGGACAGGCTCACAACCAGCAGAACAAAGTCAGATTGCTGCAACAAGTCATCCATCTTCTCACAGTAGTGTGCACCAACTGCCTGCTCCTCTTCCATTTTTCTGAGGGAAAAACACACACCCAGATTGACACAACTACTTCAGCAATCAGTCAGTCCTAAGAGAGATCTTAGTACAGAGATCGAGAGGCTTGAGGACAACATAACGACATACATAGGTATGATATACATAGGTGAAAGGGAGGAAAGGAAGGAGGGAGATGTGGCATAGGGGAATTAAGAGGCCTGAAGACTGGCAAGACCCTGGAGGAGTCATGTAAATGTATAAGCAAAGCAAGTGATAACTAGCTATAGGAGGGTGAGGATGCTGTCAGCTCCTGTTCTTCCGCTGTGTCTGTGCTGGTCCCTGTAGACTCTCTTTGCTTGATGCACATGAGTCAGGATGTGGGGTTGAAAAGGAATGAAGGGGAAGAAAGGTCTAAGAGAATGGAAATACAGAACTAAGAGGAGCTGAGATCCCTGCCCTCAGTGCACGCAGGACGAGTGACGTGGCTGGGCTGGGCACGGGGGTGACGGTGCGGCCGCACGGGTTGCCAGGAGGCTGAGGAGGCTGGCGGGATGGGGAAACAGGAGAGGGCTCAAGGCCTGGACTACTTGGGCTGCCTCACAAAATGCTGGCACCACTGCTGCCCCACAAGTGCTAGGAGCTAAACAGGGAAGAGTAAGCTCAGAACAGTGAGGGGGAGCGATAGCCTGAGGGCAGTCATAGGCCACCAGAGTGAGGAAGTGGAGGCACACTGGCATTCCTCATTTTCTTACAGCTGTCATAAGAACAAGCACTTGGACGTCTGCAGGCACAGATGAGCTCTGCGATTTCTGTCGCTGCACCTTCGGTACCTACACACAGGAAGCAAATGCTTTTACCTCCGGTTCCTGTTGTGGTAGAGAATCTTCATTTCAAAGGCTTTAGCCCTCTGAGCCACTTTATAACCAATACTGCCCATTCCGATGATGCCAAGAGTAGCCCTGGTGACTTCAACTCCCAGCCAGTCAACAGCAAAATGCTCCGTGTCTGGAGAAATCGCAATCTGGCAGCCTGAATGTGAAAACAGTGGGGTGCAGGGGTGCAAACTGACTGTGAATTTAAGGCTGGGAATCATGGAGAAAAAGGTTTCTAACTATCATAAGCAGCAGGGTTCTGGGGCATTCCTTACCAAACGCTTTAACTAATTTAGAGAGGATACATTTGGTCAGATAAGAGGGCTTAGATGTTGGTGCCATTCTCTGCAATAGGCAGGACTGGGGTCAGTGACCCAGTGGGTTTTTCAAAATGTTTATTTTTCTGTGAGGAATAGATCTTCGGGAAATTAATTCTTCCCTAACTGTAATCGTGTCTCTGTGGTTTGAAAATAGCTTATTTGACGTTTAGCACCAAGCAGACATCGCCTTTCGCTGGGGTAAATCTCATCATCTACCTCAAACATCAGCCCAAATCTGCACGACTCCTTGTGCAGGGGTGAAAGACTTGGAAAGCCCGTCCAGACAATGCTGCGCTGTGGGACATGCAGATTCCAGCTCTGTCGGGCGTCTCTAAGAGCTTTTTGCAAAAAGAGCTCAAGGTCCAGTGAGATAGTAGGAATAGTAGGAAAATATCAGGGGAAAGAGGAGTTTCTTCATGCTCAGGGATGGAGCAGTGGTGACAGAAATGCTGCGGGACCCAGCAGAGAGAAGCAATTACTTGTGACAGTCTCTGCTGACACCTTCCTTCCCCTGAAGGGCACTGCGGAGCAAGGGCATGTGCGGAAAGGATCTACTTGGGAGCGAACAAACTAATATTCGTGGTACAGTTTGGATTAATTCTGTCAAAAGGATCATCAAATATTTCAGTAATAATGTCGGTACTATTCTCTAAATTAAGCCCATTAATTTTGCTGATTTTTTTTCATAAGCAGGAAAGAAGGGACTTATTCTTTTCATACAGCTATAAAAACCTTGCCCAGCAGGCAGCCAGTTGGGAATTAAGCCCCAAACATTAGTCCATATGGGGCAACATGAGTGATTTGCAAATGCTTAATCTAGACAAAGGCCTTACTATTGTCACCACTGTGGGGTGACACTTCATGAAAAGAAGTGAGGCATCTGAAAAAGCACCAGAAAAGCACAGCCCTCTGACAACGGAGTTCTCGGATCCCTTTTTCTTGCAAAAACATCCCAAAGATCCCCATCCATTCCGGCACATCATCTGTATCACAGAAAATGTGGAACATGCCAAATAAGTTGCTAAGATCCAGAAAAAAAAAATACCTTCCACCAGTCTTCTGGCAGATGCCAGCATCAAGGCCATTCCCATGTCTGCTGTTGAGTCAGCAACGGCTTGTGGGGTGTTGGTCACTTTTACACCAAAGCTAGAAATCATTTTCAAGTCCAAGTGATCCACTCCGACCCCGGAGTTTGCAATTACTTTTAAATTAGGCAGGCTTTCCAAGAGCTCTCGGTCAATAGTTGGCCTGCACTCAAACACGAAAACAGATTGGATTTTTTTGCTCATTTCTTTTTTGTTCTTGAGAAATTCCTTCATGGTGACAAGGCGGAAGTGTTTCTTCAGAAGCACTACAAGGTTTTCTAGCACACCTTGAGTTCCTCCTATATCCAGAATCAAAACAGCCGGCAACTCTTGTTCTGCCATGACCTGTAATGAAAGGGAGCAGGAAAAATATTCCAGTCTTTTGGAGAACATCCTTGAAAGAATGATACTGTAATTATCATTTAAATTCACATCTATAAAACTGAAAATTAAGGGGTCTCAATATGGCTCTTAAGGATACGGAGTAAATCCAGTCACTTTGCACTAGCGTGATCTTTCCAGTATCTTCAGTAAGTGCTGGATCAGGTTCTAATACCAAGTAATATTCATGCCATTAAATCACTAAATCTTACGAAGTGTAGTTCTCAAGTAGTTTCATTTTAGTTCTGAATTCATATTGATTTCATACACATCTGGCAGGTTCTCAATCTTACTTTTATATACATATATATATTTAAACAGTGGTGTGAAAAGGAGTCTGATAGAAAGTTGCCTCAAGTTTCTTGACTTTTGATCATGGTTGGCGAAGCAGCACTCTGATTAATTCTGGGCACAAAGTGCTCAGCAGAAACTTCTTGCTGCCCCAGACATCTCACACATCTCTGTCGAGATTAACCAGCCACTCAGACATTACATATTACAAAATGGTATCAAAGCAGATTACAAGTTTTGGATGAGCTGGGTTTCCCCTTGCCCTGAGCAAGCCCAGCCTTACCTCAACTGCATCACTTAAAGGATTACAGTCTCTACACTAGTAATATTGCTTAATTTACAGCTCTGTACTGGCCTTGATCTGCATTTCTGCCTCAGCTGCAGTCTGCTATTGAACCCTGGCTAGCATGGGTCTCGGTGCTGAGACGTCTGCCGCTCATCCCGATCCGTTTATCTGGGAACAACAGCTGGTTCCGAACAACAAACACAGCAGTGCAATGAACAACGCAACCATAGTACAAAATAAAAACAAACAAACAAAAAGATCTAATTATTTCTTCGCAAGTAAAGTCTTCTGAATGCTGCCAGCCCCATATGGCTGAAAAAAAAATAGGCAAATTTTCCCAGTCAGTGTTTCATAAAGTATCTCGCAAAATGACCTTTTAAGGATAAATCAAATTCATCCTCCAGAATTAACTACCTGCAGAATAAAGGATAAGATTTAATGCCTGTCATGCTCTAACAGCACAGACCAACTTCTTTATGAGCATGACCTGACGATATTGCTGCAGTTTACTCAGACCAGGTGGCAACGACACTCGCAGTGTTATGCGAAGAAAAAAAGCTGTTTGGGTGCCACACAATCAATTTGCTGGCAGATGCCAGGGAGGCAGCACTGTGTTACACCATTTGCTTTTGTTACCAGTTTCTCCTTCATTACAATATGCCACCCAAGAAGGTCAGAGTCAGACAAGCTTTTATTTTAGAAGCACTTTCTGAATTTCACAAACCAGATGGTGCTTCATGGGGAAGCTACTGTGCAACACGCTGAAAGCTGATTTAGGTTTCAACTAACCGGGTCATAGGTTAGAAACAAGGTAGTCACACATAATTTCCCTTCTCAGCAGCATGGCAATACTGAATGCATCACAGTTTTAGCTGCCTTTTGATGTGTTAATTATTAATAGACTGCAGTTTTCGTTCAAAGACTGGGCTTCTTTTAGTACCAAGTACAATGAGGGTTTAAAAAAAGATACTGCTAACAGTAAAAGCAATAAAATGAATCCTGTGCCAGGCAGGGGTCTCTCCAGATACTAACCTTATTTTGAGGAACATTTAACGTTCTTCCTCCAGCACTAGTTGGGCCTGTGTTGTAGCTCTGCCTGTAATCCACATTCCTCCTCTTTTGACAGTGATGCACGTGAGAAGTAAGAGCTGGATGAATTAATTTATGAGGCAAATTGGGCTGGCTACCCATCAAGTGGAGAGACTTTAACAGACCAAATGCTCTGCCCCTGAACATAATTGTTCGGATATCAGATGTCCTGTTGAATGCGTTAAATGTAACATCTGGTAAGGATAAGACAGCTTTGGTTTTGGACTAGTTATCTTCAGTATTACTAACTCTCTTAACTCTTTTGAAAGCTGTGCATCGCCTTACATTTTCTGTCTACACAAAATCACTTGCTTTCATTTATGTATACACACATAACGATACACATTGAAATAATGTGTGTATATTCTGGTCCTTAAACACTGCAGGGAAAACCTTGACCAAAGGGCAAATAAGACAGCTGTGCTAATGCCAGTGTTACTGTTTTTCCAAGCTTCCTCACGACTTTTGGGGATCTCGACTCACTGCTTTCAGACTTGTGGACTGCCACTGCTTCCTCCCCAGGCTTACCTCAATGACAGCGGAATAAGACGGCGTGATTTTTTTCCAACTCTATTTTAAATTCAAGTTAACAGTGTGAATTATTCAGAACAAATCGCATCACCTCCCCCACAAACAACTTATCTGTGGAAGAACACTAGTTACGGCAAGCGTGGCACGAGGACGAACGCGGACGGGTTTCCTTCTCAGGGCTGCCCTTTCCTTGCCGCTGCTGGAGGGCCCAGCAGCGCGGCGCGTCCCCCTGCGATCCCAGCCTTAACCCCTGCTCTGCCACGCGGGAAATCCGCCCGGATCGCCGGCGTTTCCTGCAGGAATCCCTGCCCCGGAGGGCCTTGCGCCAGTTTTGCGGGGAGCTTTGCGTTTCTGCGGCCACGTTATTTGATGCAAGGGCCATGTGCCACTGCACGGCTGGCCTCCAAAGCCCCTCCTCGAGCTGCTAGTGATTTTTTTTTTCAGTTGAAAGTACGTCTTTGTGCCCATTTCCTGCAAAGTAACCTTTTAAACGTGAGCACAGTGTTAAATTACGGATTTGCTCCCCAGGACGTAAAAAAGATTGGCCGGGGGCACCCCCCTCAACGGCCAACGGTATCCTGGAACCTAATGATGGCGCTGCAAACGCCGGGGCTCTGGGGCTGCGGCAACGCCCGCTCAGCGCGCCCGGGACGGCGGAGCCCCGTCCCGGCGAGGGGAGCCCCCCTGCCCCCAACGGCCGTTTGGGCTGCCCCCCGCGCCCCC